GTTGTTAGTCCTCTTGTCTATGACTTTGATTAAAAATATACATACGTAATAAACTCTCAACATCACAACAGACACCGCCTGAAAAATATATATTCTATAATTTAAGTTTAAGAAGATACAAGTTCTTACCTCCATGCACTTGTGAATCTACACGTTGTGTACAACTTGTACAATTACGCGGTAACTGATAACGTAAATCACAGTAAATTAGGGAATTTCCCTAGCTACACGTACACGTACACTGTCATCTGCTTAACCTCTCTAATAACAAAGAAATAAATTTGACACAGTAAAGTATTCTACATGTATAGAATACAATTCTTATACATTTAACTATTTAATTAAAATTTGAAAATCCTTATAACATGTTTTTTTTTTAATCTCGTTTTTCGATTTCATTAAAGTTGTACAATTTATAAAATAGAAAGACAGTAAAAGTTTTATTTCCGCATGTTCGCTGATTTAACTTTATGGCATTCCGGGACGTTAATTTGTTGTTTATGGACTCGGATCCTTTCTTGCAAGGTACCTCCCGTCTCGCCGATACATGTCTATGACTCCCCGCAACCAGTTGTTACGTATATGACATTTGTACTTTGATTGTACTTTGATTAAAGACGTCACCGTATGCCGGTAAAGGGCTTCAAATTTAGACTATACTCGGCACTCAGGGTCATGGAGCAGTGAGGTTCTTTATAGTGCCAACGCCTACCGTGACACTTGACCTTGGTTTTTAGGGTCTTTTCCGAAAGACCCGTGACTTTCACATCTAGTGCCGGGAGCTGGGCGAAGTTTACGTCTTAGGTTTGACGCGGCACAGCGAACGAGAATCGAACTCGGACATCCCTGTCACGAAGCGAATGCCCTACCACTAGGCTACCTTGACCTGTTCATTCTTAATTTCAGTTGGATTCTATTACAATCTTTCTAAATATGTATAGGTTCCCATCTCGGTACGCAGCATTTTCAAATCATTTGAATTTCCCTGTGCATTGTAAAAATCGCTTTGGTTAACTTTTTTAAACGTTTGGGTGCTTGTTGTCGACTGTTGATAATACCATTCAGTTGTATTTAACTTTCCATATTTTCTTATGTTTTAAAATTGGGATAAATATTTTAGCGTCCATAACGCTATATTTGTTCTGTGGATTATAACACTACAAACGTTGCATCCCCGTCATCTTCGGTGTTAGTTACACTGCCTGGGTTTCTTAGGTTCTCTTTTAGAGTTTTGGACGCCTTTTCTATTCCAGGGTTGATAAAATCGCATAGTTTTCTCGTCGAAGATATATTTTTTATTCCTCAAAAGTGTAGAATTAAGGTTTATATGTTTCATAGTTGTAAAAGTCATACATGTTGCATTAAAAAGGATGTTACGTTTTGAGTGGGAAGGGTAACACGATCTTAAATTCAGATACCGGTGCGTATCCGTAGTTTACAGTATAAATTTGTTGATTTACAGATCCATTTTTTAAGGTAAGATGATCAAAAAATGAAGGTTTTTCATGACCTTCTTCCATTGTATATTGTGTACAATTATGAAGGTTGTTAAGATATGAATAAGATTAATTTAAATCCTCTTTACTCTTGGTCCAAAATATGAAACAATCGTCTAGGTAACACCTCCAATTATTTCTAAAATTCTTAACAAAATCGTCATTAAATTTTACCATATAATCGATCCTTAAAGTATCCCAATTATTTATGAAATAGTTACCATAATCGTCCGTTAATTTTACCATATATTTGATCTTCTAAGCACCCCATCACTCATATGAAGGAGAAAATGTTGGTCCCCATAGCGATTCCTTTTACTAGTATAGAATATTCGTTAAAGTGAAAGTGTTTTTTTTTATTTATTCAAGTTCTTTTAAAATGGATTTCTTTGACAATCGTCCATATAAAATATTCGGATGATTGTCTAATCCATTAGCTTCCTGCTTCCTGTTCTAAAGTATGGATACTTAACTTTTTCCTTTTGGTGTTACTATTTAACATACCTACTATTTGTATATGCAAGTGAGTTAAGGCTAGAGATAGGCATTTCTATGCAAATGAACTAATTAAAATACCTAAGGTCTATACCTTTTATACAGAGAAAGTTTAAAATTATTGTCTAACATTTACATTTAAAAAATGTTTTCTTTTATATAACACTATATTGAAAGCAATGGTATAAACACGGGTTCCTCGCGTCATAAACGTTCGACGGAATTTCTCAGTGATGTCATAAAGGTTCGACACACAAATCAATGGATCAAATACGTGCCGTTGAGTTTGAAAAATCAAACATTCCACGCGTTAAAGATTATAATCAGGAAAAAATAAAATATGAATAAGTCATAAATGTAAGTATAAGTAATAATGTATCATTTTTAAACATCTATCAGGATATAAATTCGGGCTGTATGGAATTTAATCTCGTACCAACCTGTATTAATTTCTGAAATGCATACTTGGTACCCACAACACATTGTAACCAGTACACATTATGACGTCTTATGATGACGTCATTACACTTTAGTACACAAGATTATAAGGAACACCAACAAAAATAGTTTTGGTGCAAGGGCATGCTCTATTTTTCAACTGAAACAAGGAATATTCAGAGGCAGAATATATCAAAGATTGATGGTATTTGCTTCAAAAATATCAACAGCTCCATTGTTTAATTACAATTTGTTAAGATTTAAGTTGAAAAAGGGTAAATAAAATGCGCAGTCCGATATAAGTCTCATAAAATTCTGATTAAATGAGAAAATGTCTAGGATATGTGCAGCAGTTTTATCAATCTATAGAATATTCTTCTTAGAATTCTACAATATTTTTGTAAAATAAAGTGGGATAATCCCTTGCCCCAAAGATGTTTCTTGATGTGTTTTATTACCTCCGATAATTAAGAGCAATGACGTCATAAAATATACTCGCTATAACATGTCGTGGGTACTAATTAATTATAAGAAAATAAATCAAAACCTTCTCTGAATAATAAATAATTTAATTTTGTTTGTATTCTAGCCTCTGATTGGCTAATATCCAAAAAGGAACACAAATTATTTCTGTATAACCTGGTTTGGTATGAACCCCCCCCCCCCCCGACAACCAGCTGAATCATCTGTATCCATACAATCCTCTCATTTCCAGTCCTCGGGATTCATGGAAAAATTAAGATTTAATAAATGTACCTTTAACTTCAAACAATAATTCTATCTTACCACATGTAAACAAATAACAATGCTTCTAGGCCTATGTATCAGTTTTTACCTCCCCTCGCTTCCCATCACTTCCGTTACTTCCGTTACTACGGTTGTATTAATGAGCGGCAAATTTGAACTAATAAAAAGCAATGAAATTTTACACCCATAGTTATTTAATGATTTTAAAATTAATTATAAGGAATTACTCGCTGTTTTATAATCCGCTTCGCGGATTATAAAGCGTAAACTGACCCAAACCAGGTTATACTCGAATAATCTGGCCAAGAATTAGCGTCATTCCTAAAATATTTTTTGCATTAGCTCATTTGCACAGAAACGCCTATAACTAGCCTTGAGGAGGAGAAGGACCTTGAGCTGAAAAAATACTTGTCATTCATTTTTTTTTTTTTTCATATTTTGTATATTTTTAATTAAGTATGTCCCACATATCTTAAAGCAGTTAAATCATTAGGTTTCTTACCTTATTTTGGAGATATTGATTGACAAATACTATGCCCTACAGTATCTAAGTGGAGTTTTAATTCTCCGTGTTTCCGGGCGCATTACTCTGTCCATAATGGGATTTTTTAAGTATACATAAAAAATATCAAAGTGGACATGTATCTTTTAAAATATTTCAGAGTATAACTAGGATTTAAAATTCTAAAAAGCAAGTTTTGTCTATCACACTGCATCTGGATAGGGAAAATACCGCACGTTTTAAGACAACTTAATAAAAAACGTAATTTACAAAAAAAATTCTATCATTCAATATTTTTTAATTTACGTTGAAATGCAAATCCTTCAAATTATTGATTAACTGTAAAAATTTCGAATGATGAAGCTGACCTCATTATTTCACAGGACATTATTAAAGAAGACATAAGCATGACAAAAACGTGTCATGTTACATTTCTCGAGTACGGGAAAAACCAACTATGACGTCACACGTAAGCTAAATAAGCGAAATAAGATATACCTACATAAGATTTCCGTCATCAGGCATGCAAAAATAATTTTTGTGTTCCCCGTTTCTTAAAATATTTCATCATATACTGCTTATGACCTGTTTTTACATAATAATACCGCCCCTATGTTCACCGAGTATGATCTTGCTGTACTAACAGATCGTGTATGACGTCACTGACTTGTTGGACACGCAGTTTAGGGAAACAGAGGAGTGTATCAATCTTTTTCATAATTTGTTAATATTTACAAGAATGTTAAAACTTTTTTTATTCTTTTTATATAAAATGGTATTAAAGTTAAAAAATTGTCAAAAAATTATACAAGAACTGATGGTTTACACGTTTTGCACTTATATAAACGGAGACTATGACGTAGTTAAACAGAGTCATGTGACCATGTGTCCTTCATCCCCTTAACTCACATACGGAAGTGCCTGAAGAGCCTGACATGGCGAAAACCATATTTCATGATTTTTATCTGATAACATTCTCCAAAGTCCCCACCCCCATTACAATGGATAACTTATTGCAGTTTTTTTTCTTCGTATATCTACTGAGCTAAGTAGCTATTCATGGTTAGTATGTTTTATCCCCACTGATAGACATATTTATATAAGTTTTACGGTTTTAATATTTACTTGCCAGAATTTGACAGAGCGTAGTTTGTTAAGAATAGAAACAATTTATAATGTATTATAATAAGATTTTGCGAAAATTTCAATTTATTTGATCTTTTCTATATTTTTTTTTTAATTTATAATACCTTTTAGTTTACACAGTAATAAAATTCATTTAACTCTTATGCTATGAACTAATGGGTACAATTTATCTGCAGGTTGTAGCATTAATTGTATGGATGCAGAGTGTAACACCAGTGGATATTGCACTAAATGTACTGAAAACAAGCTTTGGGGACCTACCTGTGACAACCATTGTTCTAAATATTGCAATAACAGATCGTGTATTCGCGACTCTGGATTCTGTGATCAAGGTTGTCCTGAGGGATTCTGGGGCAGACATTGCAACCAATCCTGTAGTGAAAATTGCAATGAAGGCAGTTGTTCTCCTGAAAACGGGCATTGTATAAACGGATGCAAACCTTACTTTGGTGGAGAAAAATGCGAATGTTAGTTTTATTCACATTCCGTTATTTATTATTCACTATCCTTTTATCTACTAAAGCGGAAAATTTATATTTTATCAGCTTCTGTGTATTTGTATCTTTTTAACTAATGCCAAAATTTATTTTTTACAGATATGACAAGAACATTGATAGTGCAAGTCTATGATATTAAAAAAACTTTACTTTATTATTGCTCTTTTAATATAATACATGTAAATTGTTTTCTTTATCTTTGGAACAGTCTTGAAAAAATAATACATTATGTTCTGTTCTTTGTTTTTAACAGCTTGTGATTCTTACCATTTCGGAGCACACTGTACTTCGGAATGCAGCAACCACTGCAGGAATGGTACCTGCTTTCAGAATGGGACCTGTACTTTAGGTTGCATTGGAAAACTATACGGTGATAAATGTGAGAAGGAATGTAGAAACTGCGCTTTTACATGTGACAAGATCAGCGGAGAATGTGATAAAGGATGTGTTGATGGAACATATGGTTCGTCCTGCAATATGAAATGCAGCAGAGGCTGTGTCTCTGGCTGTGATCAATATTCTGGTCATTGTAACTGTATGGAAGGTTGGCAAGGTGACAGTTGTGACAGTAAGTGCACATATAACATCATCTCTATAAAAATAAAAACCAAGAATTACTGAATGATATGTGTTTATATAATTACGTAAAAGTGCGTGGTATATGCATGTTTCATTTATTTTTCGATTAGGAAAAATGACTTGGTAGAGTTTTATTATTTTTCCTATGTATTGAAGTATAGATGTGGTTGCTTGCAAAAAAATCATCAACATAAGCATCTATCAGTCATGAATGGTCGACACAAATTCATAATGACCTGATTTATAGTCGTCACAAACTGATGCCGTTGGGTTTAGAAACTAAAAATTCTATCAATATATGTTCGTAATTTCACGATTTTTTTTTTATTGTACATGTAAATCAGTCATAATATAAATATTAGAAATATGGTTTCATTTTAAAACATTCTTCGGGATATTGATAGGATTAAGTACTTCTGACTTTATTAGATTTCATAATATTTATTCATTTGTATTTTTTGTGTTTGGCAGTGTGTGATCCCTATCACTACGGAAATTATTGTGAACAAAGTTGCAGCAAAAATTGTCTTGACAATACCTGCTTTCCAATCAATGGAACTTGCACATCAGGCTGCATTGGAAATTTTAAAGATTCAATGTGTACTTTAAGTAAGAACTACCTGTCAAATTATAAGTCATACTATACAAGACAAAAGAATTCTTGTGTAATTCTTATTTTATTTGTTTTATTTAAAAAAACAATTTAATATTTACAGTTTCCCTTTTCTGATATGTTCATTTTTGGCAATTTGTAAATGGTTAAGAAATAGAACTTATTTGATTCTCGATATGTTGTTTACAAATTACACCTGTATTACTATTTTATATCATTTTAGATTCCCCTGTGGGAGATTCCCGAACATTTGATACCTCAGATATGAAAACATTTATTGGTGCTGCTGTTGGGACACTTTTATTTATTCTACTGGCAGTGGTTTTCCTGTTGTTTGCTATTAAGTTCGTACATAAGTTCTAAATATCAATTTAGAAATATCTTCAAGTCTTTTACGAGCATGAGAGTATATTTATTTGGGAATGCCTAACTATCGCATAAATGGCGAATATTTTTACACATAAACTAAAATATGCAAGAAAAATATTATCCCATAAACCCACTCAACATTGAGTGTTATTTTTCTATTAATATTTTAATCTTTGAGAACTTGTGACGTCGTAGCGAGTCTTAACATTAGTAAATGTACAAATTATTTACCAACAATGTTCAAAATATTTTTAATTTTCATCTAAAACAAAACTATATACTGGGTATTGGTGGGATTAAAACTTTTCTTGCGTGCATAGTGCCATATCTGATTAATGTGGTCTCAATTGACCTGTTTTTTTGTCTGATATTAGGTTGAGAAGGAACAAGAAATCAAGATCTACGCCCAGTATGGCCTATGTTGTTTCGAAAAGGAATTCAGAAGGTATATCAATTATATTAATTCAAAATTTAATCTATATTATACATGTAATGATTTCTTATGAGGTTAAAGACCACTCATATAGAGATGTCACTGCATGCCAGTAAAGAGCTTCAAATTTAGACCTATAATCGGCAGTATATAAAAATTTTTATTATCAATTTATTATGTACTTTGATGTATGACGTACATGTATGTCTTATTAAATTCTCATCTTTTGTTTATGAGTATTTAAAAACATAACGTCCATTAACTAAAATTTTTGAAAATACCCAACGACTTTTACTGTGCGAACATAGGATTCACGGAGCAATCACTTGACGTAGATTCCAAACATGTTAAGCTTTTTTACAAATCTAAATATCTTTCACTTCTATAGACGTTCCATGTCTTTCTCTCTTTAAAAAAATTGAATAACTATATCAGGACGTTATTTACAATGTCCTTTGTGGTGCTTCGGGTATTAGTGAGATCTTAAAATCAATGTCTACGCAGTTAAGCGATCAGGTATGGAAACAATGCAAAATCCATAGACACAACGTCCATGCGATAAGTGTGGTTGATCAAAATTGTTAATCCTTCCATTACTATTACCATTTGCACACTTTGGTCCTAGAAACGTGTAGATAATTTCCAGCAGCATCTAAAAATATTTAACTCTCTTTCGGCATTTGTCGGTCTACACACATTATTTTTCAATAGATTGGTGCCCCAAGACCATCTATAATTAGCGATAAAACAGTCACAACCCCTCCAATTCAATTCAAATTTTGCCAAACGGGGATTCTTGGTTATTGTAGTGACAGGTGAAATATCATGAATCTGTATGAGCTACAACTGTTCAATTTTTAATTTCAAAATAATGTGTATGAAATGTAAACGTGTGAAAAAGTGGCAGGTTCCGTGAAGTATGTTTATTCTAAATACCCCGTAATATAGCTGTATATTTCTAAAGGATCATCGCAGAACACCAAATATTTGCTTATTTACCGGAAAATACGCAAAATTTTTATTTGCTAAGTTTTACTGGTTTCATGGAAATATCGCCCTCACAATAGAATATGTCTGCGAACTTTTCTAACAACCCTTGTATGTTTAAACATGTTCATGAGAACTTACTTTCAGAGAAAGAATTCAAGAATTATTTATCAAATTTCATTTGCTTATATATATATATATATATGAGAGCTATTCAATAGTATCTATATTTTTTACCTTGACCCTTCATTTTACCTTGACCTCCCTTTTCTAAAGTTTGTGTTTTACTAAGTTTCAAAGAAACAAATCAAGATATTTTTATCAAACTTCATATGATATTCATCATACTTGGTAGAGTTTTTCAACTTCATAAACAGTTCTTGACCTTAACCTTTCCTTTGACCTTGACCCACTTTTCTCAGATTTGTGTTCAGCTCAGTTTCAAAGAAACTATCGTGATATTTTTATGTAAGTACATGTAATACACTAAAACATTATTTCCTGAGAATTTGTCAACTCAACTGTATCCATTTTGTTTATAGACTGACTTTCCAATGAACTCTGACTTTACTATTTCTATGTATGAAGCTCACATTTAAAAAAAAAACTACTATTCAAGCTATTTTCATCATACTTCATTCACTAATGCAAATCTTTATGTTGCATTAGTAATGAACCCTCGGCTGGGCATTTATGTCCTATGGACATGTTTCTAGTTTTGTACACTTTGTGTTAAGAAAATTCGTTAAAGATGATATTTGAAATTGTAATTACACTTGTATTACACTTGAAGATCAAACGAAGATGTACACCGAAATTGGGAGTGTTCCGGTCGAACTAGAAGACCCTGAAGAAGAACCACAAATAGAGAAGCTGGAAGATGCCGTATACTACAATAATTTAACAGCCGCTAGAGATATTTTTGTTGCTGACCTTCTTAGTGTTATCAAAAACAAGGAAGCTGACGAAAATGAGGGTTTTACTGCAGAATTCAAGGTTCTTATAAATTATAATGAACTGAAATGATAAAGAAAAGAAATATTTAAAGGGAAAAATGTAACTTTAGAATTTTCAAGAGCGCATAATCTTGATAATACAATCTATGAATTGTTTACTCACCCCGTTTTTGGAAATGCAGGGTTTTTTTTTCTTTCTATCATCTTTCTCATTTTGGCGATCATTGACAATAAGTACGTTAAAGGTTAAATCCTTTTAATAGTAATAACTATATTTTTAATAGTCAATAAAAAATGTGGCAACTTGAATACGAAAAGAAAGTAGTGTATCTGATTAATGATATACTAATCATGTTGAGTTTATAAGTGTAAAATGAATCAAAATTTTATACAAAAAAATATTAAGTTAACATTAATGTGTGACTCCTAATTCTAATGTCATGTTTGCTTGTTTTTTTCTTTTTTAAATAATAAATTCACGCAATAAATACAGTCATATAAGTAACCGAAATTATTGATAATCACCGTTTTCTAAACAAGTAATTAATATGAAAACAACCACAATGCCTTAATCGAATTCAGGATATTCTGAAAACGGAAGAGGGGTTCACCTCATAAAAGGGACTCCATAACATGATTGCTTAAGCAGTTTTTATAATCCCACTCTACATCCATTGACATCCCCTTTGCTTGTGCATATGACATTTTATGGAGACAGACGCAGTTTTAATACTCAGTTATTCAGTAATATTTTTGTCAATTTTTTGTTTATCTCTCATAAATGTATGTCTTGTCCGCTAAAAAGGAATGGGAGATATGTTTTTTTTTCTCCTGGATTCCCTTTGTCCTAGGCCTTTCAGCTGCCGCTAGGGTTCGATGAAAAGAATGATAACCCATTACCGGAACTTGTTTACAGCGGGTCCGAGGAAGCTAACTGTTTTTAAGCATGTCAAGTTTAAGCATTTCCAAAGTGTTCCTTCACTGTCAGTGGAATCCAGTGGTTTTAAAATTTAGCTCAAATGTTAAACTTATTTATCATGTAGTACCGACACTGTGCAATGATATATAAGTGAAGTTTTTAATAAAAATAGAAAGTGAAATCCATCCCCCTTCTTAATTTTGACCTGGTTAAATTTTTATACTTGATGGTTCTTTTTCGTGCTTAGGAATAAGATAATTTATTGTTGCATTTAATCGTAGAAATATATATCTTTATAGATGAAGCACAACATGCACACACAAAAAACATGGCATTATATTTTGTTCTTCATAACAACTGTCGAAGAGAGTTTAAAATCTTGAATATAGTCCATTCCCCCATTCATTGATCCCGTTATTCCAGGTATAGAGTGAAAACATTCTCCTTGTTTTGGTCAACCCTTTTGTGTACCAAAGAATATAAGGAACCCTTTTGTGAACATTATAATACCAACTGAAGCAGCCTATATGTCATTCCTATAAACGATAACTCAAAAATCGGCAGTTTGTTGGTCGTTTTTTGCACTTGAGTTACCTGTCCTTAAAACACAACATCTTACCAATTAAATATTTATAATCATTTTTTTATGATTTAAATAAAGTTATGTATAGGTTATAATATTATTTTGAGAATTTCATGTACCTACAAATCTATCTATCAAATGTTTTTTACCATATGTGCAACTTGAAAATTAGTTGAAAGGCCTATTTGTCCTCGCTTTAACTATCAATATATCAACATTCTATCTATGTGTGCACATTACTAGTAAACATCAAGAATATATTTGATTTTTTTTATTAATCTAGTTTTATTTGGTAAATTTCCGTAAGCGAAAATAATTTTTTACGACTTTTCTATGTGAAAGCTTTGATTGATTGTATGTTGTTTAACATCCCAATCGACAACAATTTTTCACTCATATAGAGACGTCACCATATACCGGTGAAGGGCTTCAAATTTTGTTTATCTCTCATAAATGCATGTCTTGTCCGCAAAAAAGGAATGGAAGATATGTTTTTTTTCCTACTGGATTCCCCTTGTCCTCGCTTTAACTATCAATATATCAACATTCTTTCTATGCGTGCACATTACTAGTAAACATCAAGAATTTATTTGAATTTTTTATTAAACTAATTTGATTTGGTAAATTTCCGTGAGGAAAAATATTTTTTTACGACTTTTCTATGTGAAAGCTTTGATTGATTGTATGTTGTTTAACGTCCCATTCGAGAACAATTTTTCGCTCAAATAGAGACACCATATACCGGTGAAGGGCTTTAAATTTTGACATTTACTCGGCACTCAGGGCCATTAAGCAGTGAGGGATCTATATCGTGCCAACGCCTGTCGTGACACGGAGCCTCGGTTTCTAAGGTCTCATCCGAAGGACCCACAACTTTCTCTTCAAAGTGCCGAGCGCATGGCAAAAGAACAGTTGCTACCCAGTTTTTATCGACTTAGCCTGGTAGGTCATTCTCGGCCGAGATTCGAACTCACAACCTCCTGATCACGGAGCGAGCGCTCTACCGACTGAGCAGCATTTGATAATGACGTCAATTAAGTCACAAAGGCGACGTTGCATTGCTTCCCGTTCGTTTCTCTGAATATTACTTTAAATAGCAATACGAAACCAAACATAGATTAATATACAGTACTTGTTATTTTTCTTAAATCTCGTAAATGTAAATGTAAGATAAAAGATACCACAGAGTGTGACACATCTGTATCATATTTGGATATTTTACTTGAAAAAAAAAGACGTTAATGGTAATCTAACAACCAAGCTTTATGATAAACGTGATGACTTATCTTTTCAACTCCCCTTACTTATGCAGCAATATACCTTCATCACCTGCATACGGGGTTTATATCTCTCAGTTGATTCGATACGCAAGAGCATACTCTACGTATGTACAATTTCCAAATTGAGGTAAATTATTGACAAACAAGTTGATGAAACAAGAATATCAGCAGTCTCGTTTAACGTCATCATTTTGTAAGTTCTATGGTCGATACAATGACCTTGTCAGCAAATACAATTTACCATTGAGTCAAATGCTGACTGATGATTTTCATGCTAATTGTTAGATCATTATTTACACACTGAATTGTCGACTGTTTTTTCCGTTATTTCCCGATCATGACAAGGAGCACAGGGCAGGTGTGCCCTGTCGGCAGGGAATGCTCGCTCCTCCATGGCACCTGATCCCACCTCTGATGTTTTGGAGGTCTGTGTTTGCTCTGCGCCTATTTTGTATTGTTTAATGGACTTTTAAGCTTTAATACTGTTCGTTATCTTCATATATTTTATGTATTACAAGTCTAAATTCTGCTGTGATTACATGTATATGTAAATGTAACTAATAAATCATTATAAATACAATACCCAGTGCAAGGAATAAATAAGTAATAGTTAATAAATAAGGAATAACTAGTAAGTGATACTAAACTGCTAAAGATCAATTAAAATGTGTCATTGTTAAAGTTATGGTATGCAAAAAGAAAATTACCGTAAATTGCTTATCCGAAAACTTGAAAGGTTGTACGTGTGTACGCAATTTGCATTACAAAGGAATTAAATCGAACGTACATTTTACACCAGGTTTGCCTATCAAAATCGGGGAAAAAACCTGTTTGTATATTTTCAGGATAAACACTAATGATACTCAACACTAAAAACGGATGAAATTTAATTACATGAATTTTCCTGGTTTTTTTTTTTTTATTTTTATTGTTTTGCTTTTTTTTTTATTTGTTCAATCTTGTAATCTCGTAGAGTCTCTTTATACATGTATATGCAGGCTAGCAAGTGATTTATTTATTATATTTAAATGCATTAAAATATTTCTACAAATCCGGTCTATCAAATCTATATGACACTATTAACAGATAATAATAGATATTTATGCGAGTATGTAAACGCGATTACGTTCAATATATGACGTTGTAGTGATAAATAACGCCATAAACTCAAACATTGGCAATATAAAAACAAACTTTGTAATTATTTAGCAAAAAACTAACGAGAAGAAATATCGATTTTTTTTTTTCTCAATAGTTTTATTTTGACCTCATTTTTTTCATTTTGAACCTCCTAACTAATTCGTCTACGTCTTTAAAAAGCTATTCGATCATTTTTTTTTTAAGAAAGTCTTTCCTTAAAATTGGTCTAAAAACGTTATTTCTCTATATATATTTCAATAGTAAAGCGTCAAAATAGTAACAAAAACTATACCGAGTTTACAGTAATATAGCATTAAAACCACGTAGACATATTTGATAAAAATTATAGATAATATGCAGCAAATTCTAATGAACATTATATCAAATTTTCAGGATAAATTTTCTCGTAAGAATTTTTATGCAATAAACCCGCGACCTACCTTAATCTCTCGGGTTTTTTTTTCCCGCTTTTTAGAACATCCTTCATATGTGGTTGATAAAATGTTTCAGAGATTATATGCTTGGTTTTATTTCCAATAATTCAAATACTTCAGATTTTTTTGGCAAATTTCTAGATTAAGATTCTTTAAACCAACCTTTATTCGCGTACGATAAATATCCACTTAATTTGTGACCTTGTTCTACTTGCAAATCTTTCACTTTGCAAACAAAATATGTAATTTGGTATATATCTAGAATAATTCCACAGCCTAGAAAATTAATAGTCAAGAACTTATTTCAGACTCTCAAATCGCAAATTATTATTGTCGCTAAAATTGTAAAATAAAAAAATATTGTCACTAATAAAATTCTACCATATATTTTTTTTTTTTTTTTCAGTCCCTTCCATATGGAGAAAGATTTGACTGCAATATAGCCAAAATGGAAGAAAATATAGTTAAAAATAGATTTAAAACGACATTTCCTTGTGAGAGTTTTTAAATTACTTATTGTTCTTGATCTTTATTTGAATATATAAATATAAGATTTAGTAAAATTACTAAGAAAAAATAATAATGTTTTTTACATGGACAGACATATCAAACATGATTTTTTTCCCTTTTTGGCATTGCTCAATAAGTTTCTTCTCACTTTCCTAATTTTGTCTCATTCAGATGATCATTCCAGGGTAAAACTGGCAGTTGAGAACGGCTTCACCTCGGATTATATCAATGCAAATTACATAGAGGTTAAAAAGCAATGATCTATAATAAGCTACATGTATGATAATAACAATATCGACTCTCGAACTTTTGAAAATTCTAAATACAGTCTGATTATTTTGATATTTTTTTATATAGAATATGGAAGGGAGACGTGACTACATTGCATGTCAAGGTAATGATATTTCAATAAATATTCTAATATAGATAGGTCGGTGAACGAAGTATTATGTAATTTCTCATCTCTTTTGATTTGGTTATGTTTAAATATTTTTTTTTTTACCTAATCGGTTTGAATTATTTTGAAGGACCAACAGCCAATACTTTGATAGATCATTGGAGGATGATTTGGCAAGAACATATCGAGTATATTGTCATGTTGACTAATCTTATTGAAGGACCTAAGGTTAAATGCTGTGCATTTTCTAAGTTGAAGTTATATGCATTCCTTTTAACCTGAGTATATAAATTTATATCAGTTCGAATTGAAAACATGTATTCCTTAAGTTTGTAAAAAAAGTTTTTTTTTTTAATGCTAAGTTTAGTCCTTTCTGATAAATAACCATATTGCAGAATAAATGTCACCAGTATTGGCCCGATGAAAACGAAGAACTAGACTTAGATCCATTTTCTGTAGACCTAATTCAGGAAAAGGTCTATGCTTATTTTGTGATGAGAATTATGACACTGCGAAAACAGAAAGTAAGTTTTGTAATGTTTGACATGTTAGAGCCGAAAAGAATTTTTTTTTTCCAAAAGTCATGTTGTTTGTCCAATTTAGTACCAAAAACTAAAAATAAAGAAAAAAACATATGCTTTTTCTATGAAGAACTGTCATATAGTTTCACTATATTTTTTATGATTTGATTTGAAAAAAAAAACGATTTGCATGTACATACTAGGTCAGTGAGTCAAGGACTGTCGTGCAGTTCCATTATACTAGATGGCCAGATCACGGGACTCCCAATCCACTGAATCTTGTCGTCTTTCATAGACACTTCCGACACAAAATCAAACCATCTAGGCATCCTATTCTCATACATTGCAGGTACACGTTAATATAAATAAACTCTTGCACTTTCTTCAAAGATTGGATCAAACATAAGAAGAAATGAATATTCGAGTCAAGATTCGTAGATAGAACACGTGTACAAATGAAAATTCTATTTAAAAAAATACTGAATGATACCACGCAAAAATTTAAAATCGATAAACATTAAGGGATATAAAGGACATGGTAAAAAAAACTTCTCAAATCTTATGAGACGATTTGAAATGATGATGAAAACTCATTATGTTTCTTTCAGTGCTGGAATAGGGAGAACAGGAACATTTATAGCCTTTGATGTTTTGTCCAGGTATGGCAAGGACAATGGCAAAGTCAATATCATAGAGTATGTCAAGGCCATGCGTAAAGACAGAATGACAATGATACAGAACGTGGTATGTTTAGATTTAAGTTTGATTGAGAAATCTGTGTGAGAGAGAAACAGATCTAGAAAGAGAGAAAGAAACAGATAATATGTTAATCTTTACAAATAGCTTGATATATTTCTTCACCAAAGTAAATTATAAAAGAAATTAGTTTGAAATGAATTTTTTTTTTCAGGACCAGTACATGTTTCTTTATAAAGCATTGTTTGAGTTCTTTAGAAGACAGAATAAATATATCAGAAGGGAAGAATACCTTAAGTTCTATTCGGATTTGGGCAGACGAGAGACAAGGAAACAGATCACAGACGAATACAATGTAAGCTAGTATCAAAGAAATTTAGCAATATTAGGGAGAGGGCGTAATAAGTTTTAAGAACTTGTGCCAAATCCCTTTGTAATTAGAAACTACAATAAAATATGTTCAAACCAAAGAAATTTAGAATATCAGTATATATTACATAAAATATATATTGATCCTTTAATGAAGAAAAAGAAAGCATTGTTAAAAACATTTTCTTCTTTATTTGATTCCATAATATTTTTGTTAGAAACTGAAAATAGTAAAACCACATTATGAGGATGAAGATTTCGAAACAGGTAGACAACATTTGAAACTGAATATGACAGATTTTGTTCTACCAGGTACGAAGTTTTTACTATTTCAGAAGTTATAAATTTCAATACTTAATTGATTCAAAGTCAATCAGAGAGACCTATATCAATCACTAACTTTGTTTTAAGAAAATTATTGTATTTGTTTAGTTGAGCAATATCTAGTACTTTTGACTTCCTACTGCCGGGGTCGTTCTTCCTATTACAATGCAGTGACACTGTCGGTATGTATTTTTTGACATCGTATATAAGAACAAAGATATTTTTCAGTTTTCTTATATTACAAAAATACCAGAATCATTGTAAAAGAAAAGAAAAATAACAGATTTTTTGAAAACCCTTTGATAATTATGACATTGCATACAAATCTACAAAACAAAACCAAATAAATTCATAGCAATTTTTATCTGTATGCCTTTGGTCAATTTCAAAGGGTCTGCAAACCTACCATCTACATTTTTTTTTAATTTTATTGACAATTTACGCCTTTTGATATTTCGAAAAAGAACATTATATTTCTGTTTTCATAATGTTTAGTCTTTTACCCGGGCTGACGAATTTATTTCTGCCCAGCTTCCTGTGACTGGCGCAGCCATTGATCTAGCTCGTCTTCTTGTTGATCAAGAATCACACTTTCTAATATCTTTGAATCCTTTGTCAGATGTCAATGAGGTAGGATGAACTTTCTTATAATTTTCTCTGTAATTTTTTTTTGCATGTGTTTCAAAAAAGTAATTTGTTTTTTCATTAAGAATGCTCATTTGAAGAGTACTCTGCATTATTATATGCATTGTAAAACTTAAAAACGTTTATTGCAATTGGACATATCGAAATTTTCTGGCATGATCATGAAGTAATTTTAGATTTAGGTCAAAATCTGTAGATTATCTTATAGTTTTCCATCAGATAGCATACACAGTTTAAAATGGTATCAAAAAATGTTTCCCTTTCATTTTATAATTAACTGTAAATTTGACATAAGTGTACCACTGCTTCATAATTCAAAGGCGTTTTCATCAGTTGACTTTGAAAATAATCTTGTCAAAATTCCCCAATAAGCTTAAAACTGTAATTACAAAATATCAAATGATTATGAAGTAATAATGTCGAAGAGTTTGTTGCATTTTGACATAAAGATGAAGATTTGGGTTGAGGAGCAAGTCAAGCATTTTAGACTGGATCAATATGAGATCACCAAACGTGCTCAAACAAGATTGACAAATGAAATACGAAAAACAACTGTTGAAATAAAAAGAAAGAAGGTGAGGCTTGTGCCTATACTTATTGAAGATAGTACAACATCCTACGAATATATTCTACTAACTTTTTTCTTAAGGAGGTTTGATCCTGAGCTTTTAGCATATTTTTTTTTCTGGACCTTTATTCTAAAATTCTGCATTATATTTAAGTTGTTATATAAAAATTGAACTTTACAATGCAAGTTAAGCTATATTCAATTAAATACCCACGATTAATATTCCATGAAGGCATTATATGAGGAACTATATTTAGTGGCGGAAGGTTTTTTTTTTTAAAGAAAATGATTATTTTTTCTCTTTCAAAGTATTTACAGTTCTGTTCAGTGTGATTTCCAATTTTTCCTTGCAGGCTTCAGAGTTGCTTTGTACATTGAAATGTTTAATGCTGGTCCTGAAATATTTATCAAGTTAATTTTTTATGAATTCTTTTATTACATTGTAACAAATATTGCAAATATAGTCTGAAAATCCAGAAAAATAGAGCCAATTTCAACTTACAATTAATTCTTTTAATAATATGTAAAATTTTACATCATAGACCCCTACTTTTGATTTTCTTTTCTGAATATATAAGATGACTTTAGTCATTCTGCTTAAAGAGCCAGGTACGTTAGTAGTGAAAAATGGCCCTTCTTTGAAAATTTAAAATAATTATAAAGAAATGACCTGAGGATGTACACTTTATAAATATATCAACAATTTTTATCTATCTTTTATAGTTTAGTTGCAATAGCCCTCTAAAAATGGAATGTATTTTATTGCATTTAACCGCTTTTAGCACTATGACGTCATTATTGCTGTCAATTTAGAACATTAATGTATCAATGTATGTTATACGTAAAAAAAATCTTATATTAAAATATTTACATTACATAGTTTATTTACTTCAAAGAAAATATTGCACAAAAAAGAATGTTTTAAAGAATAAATGACCTCCATAGTATCAATATACCTGAATATCATAATTGCAGTCAAAATTGCTTGCATAATGTGCAGTCTGTTTTTCTCCACAAACAAATTAATTTTTTTTTTCAGGAATGTTTAAAAAAAAAAAATAGATAGAGAATGCAAAAAGATCCTTGAAATGAAGCTTTTATTAACAAACAAGAACAGTAAACGAGGAAATATAACCTACTTTAGCATTAATTTTGACCTATTTGCACTAAGGTTCAAATTATAATACCGAAAATCGCCCTATTTTAGATTAATCAATACAATTTTAAAAAAGTATTAAATTATTCATACAAAAGAGATCAATGGGCAGCAAAATAATAAGGAATTATATCGCCAGGATGTAATGATAACTCAGACACGAAGTACTGTGAGGGGGGGGGGGTGTCCCTTTTTTTTAACATTACCTTTTCTATCGAAAATATGTTCATTGAAGGGCTAGTTGCTCCTCTTCCCCACTTTTTGTTGCAGGGTTATGTGGTGATGTATGAAATAAAATTGATGTAGAAGAAGTTGAGAAGTTGGACCTCCCTCCCACGAAAAAGGATTTTTAAGTTTGATCCCCCCCTTCCCCCGCATTTTAAAGCCCATACTACGTGCCTGCAACTTAAGAAATATCTAGTAGAATTCGTTGACTTCAGAATTCTGAAATTCTGAGTTTCTCCAGGGTTTTGTTTAAGCTAAAATATATTCTAGGTCGCTATTGCGCTGAGAAAGGGAGGAAGGGGGATGAAAGTAAGCTACTGGTATAACAAATAGCAAAAAAAAAAATCAAAGTTGACCCTAAGGTTCCTTGTAAACTATACGACAAAGTTTACTTTTTTTATTTGTCAATACGTATAGACTGGATCTAAATTACATATCTTTGTGATATGTCCTCATCATTTCCATCAGCATTTTCTTTTAGTTTACGATGACCTTGCAAATTGATCTTTGAATTTGAACCACAGACAAAGGTGTCAATTAACAAAAGATAAATTATAATCATCTTCCTAACTTACCAACAGGGAACTTGCAAAGCTATACAAAACAGCTGAAGTAAATTCAAATAATAGTAGTGATAAAATTTAATTTCATTTGTCTAATCGGGAATTCAGACAATACTTTTCTTCCAAAACTCAATTTTGCTTTGTCAATTGAGCTAAAAAATATTTCGATTATTCCCAGTAATTTTAACAACCATGAATTTTGTCTCTGACGCCGTTTTTACAATATCAACACATAACTTTATGATTGGACGCTGTTCCGTTTTCATGGGCATTTCTTTTGATTTTTTTTCTGAACATATCCATCATCCCTCCAAGATATAAAAAAAATGAAGACGGTGGACTCATCTCATACACGACATATTTAATTTTTATTAAGCTTTGACTTGGTTTATAACAAGATAGGTATATTTTTTCAACCCTTCATAAAAAAGGTTGTAACATTTCAACCCTGGGCCATACGCACTATCTGCGACCTTAAAGATTGCTAAATTTTTTTTATACAAAAAAATTATTACGTTGGGTTGTCTTAGATTGGATGCAAAATACAGCGATAAGGTTACCAGTGTCTCGAAACGCGGGGTTATTCAAATGACTGTAAGCATAAGGTTAAACAAATATGACTTTTAATAACGCATCAACCAGGGTCATGTTGAATTCATTCTTCTCGTGGTTTCAGCTTTAGAACCTGACTGTTGATCATTTGGGGACAAACAACTAGAAAATTAAGATCTGAAAATAATTTTCCTGGGTCTTTATATTGTAACGCTAAATATTTTCTATATCCAAAAGACAAAACTGTACGTGTACATAAATTAACGTATTCAAAATTTAGCGCAATGACTTCCTATGGACTAGATGGCGTTACCATAAAATACTGCAGATTTAGGGGCCTTGCATGTATTCAGTTATGATTTATTTACGGTATTCATGAATTAGCGTAATGTTGTCTGCGCCAAAGCCGCTAAAATATGAAGCTCGCGTACAATATCTTCCTGGTACGTACGTCACCTGAGTTGGTGAAGTGGGGTTTCAGAGGCAAGGTAGGGAGGGGGGTCTACCTTGAGATCCCTGGCCAAGTAGTTCAACTTCCCGATTTCCGAGATTTTAAGTATGATATATAAGCTTATAAGTGGCCTGAGTGGGAACCCCCCCCCCCTACACACACACATAACCCAATTATTATACCTCATTATAATTATTCTAGACAACACGTTATTTAATTGGTTCTAAATTGTCACGTAACGGGGCCATAAGACTTCATATTTCCCTGTCGTCGTCATGCTTTTCATCATATTTAACCTTCTAGGAACACCATGTGCATTTTCTCGCAATACTTATAAATCATTCGTTGACGAAAACTCCCGAGAACTGCAGACATCACAAAATTTAAAATAGTAGCGTTGAATGCAATGACAAACAACAAGATTTTTATTATTAATATCATTTGATTTAGTAAGAATTAATGAATTTGCAAATATTTTGGAGAGTTTTTTTCTGTCACAAAAGGGAGGGTGTAAAATAAATGAGTTAGAAAAAAATTATAGATATATTATATAAATTTAAAGTCATATTTGGCGTATTTTTTGTTAAGTTCAGGTAACCAAAATTTAAAAAAAATTCTTTCTATATGTTTTATTACTTTATAAAAGATAGGACTTTCCTGTAAATTACACAATTTAAATCAATCGCTTTTCAAATATATTAAAAATTTAAAGCAATAACCGATTTATTTACCGACTCCACATTTAACAGACAAATTTAAAGTCATTTTAACTAAAGAAACGTGAGGTTATTTAAGTTCAAAATCGGTGAAAAATTTAATTCGAACGTAAATAACATTTATTATATATATTTACACTCAATCTTGTTTTATTATTTTTCAAGCTCTGATACGCCATATATAGCTTTAAAAAATATTTTCAGTATCTTATTAGAATTTCATAAAATTAAATGAAGCTCTCCCATTCAGAAGTTTTCATTATAATGAGTATCATTTTAGGTCGAACATTATTTTATTTATTCTCATCTTAACTTCTCTAAGGCAAACTTAATAGTTATATGTAATTTCCCCATTCTTCTTTCTCCCTCTTGAATTTAACCGCATTGTTTCACTGTTTTCGGGGACATAAATAACATATACTTATGCCTCTACTGTTCTCAATTATCATTTTAATTATTTTTTGAGAAGACATAAAAACATATTAAATGGTTATGTTTTCTTTTTCGTTTCTAGGTGATGGTATATAAATTTAATTCATTGAAAGATTATCGTACTTAAAATATACTAAGTATAAGTATGTACTAATTAAGCTTTTGGAGAATGGGTGTAACTGCATCTGTGCATTGAAACATGTTAACTTTCCAGTATTTTTACAGATAATAAAAAGTCGTTAATTTGAGATTCTTTTTATATCTAGAATGAAACATCTGACTAAAATTTTCTCTTACTGTGAGAAATTCTCAATAATTTTATCAAAATTTTTGAAAAAAAAAAAAAAATAGTGTTTACAGTAAAATATCGAACGAAAGACTGAAAAATGAGGAAAAGCTTTTGGCGCGTCACTGTACGTTGTCAACGTAAACAATGAGGACATTTATATTTAGAGTTCGGTGTACAACCTAGAGACGTTAGGTTCTTGCCTTAAACTTAACATAAGATACCTTTTTATAAATTTAGCAACCCAATAACATCTCGGTTATATCTTTTAACAACACACCGACTGAAATTAAGACGTTATATGATTGTGTACATTTGCCTGTATTATATGATTGTGTACATTTGCCTGTATTTTGCTTGTTTCCGGAATGAAAACGAAAGTAAAAAAGGTGGTCGCGGATACGAATTTTTAACAACTGAGTTATTAAAATAATGTATTTTATCATTTAGATTTCTACAAAATAAACATGTATTCAATTGTTATTTATTTTCTACGAATATAGTCAAAATATCAAGTTAATATTCCATTCCCCTCATGTCAAGATCCGTATAGCAGACGACTGGTAACATTAGAATTTGTAAAAATTCAATGTGGCCACAGCCCACGGCCAGAACGAAACCTGTAAAAATCAATCCCTTTTATGTTATAATATTTCTGGTTAAAATATCTTCGTGGCCGATGCATGTGGCCACATCGAATTTTCCCAAAAACCGGGTGAAAAGTGAAGAAAATTGCTTGTTTTCCGGATACGGCATAGGTTTGGATATTACATAGCAGCATAAGAAGCTTGGATCCGCCCAAACGTTTACATACACAAGGACTTAGGATCATAAACTTTATAAATATACATGGTTAGTGAGGATACACAAACTTTATATTTTAAGCATTTTGCAGGGCCTGTTGACATTAGCTAACGTACCTAGCTCTTTGGCAAAAGTTTAAGACTATAAAATAATTTTCTGGGCTGTTAAATTTTAATGCCAGATAAATGACAGTTTGTGAGTGCAGAAAGGTCAAATCATTGATTATGCCAAGTAATTTGAAACTTTTTTTTGTCACAATTTCAATGTCTTTTTTCAGATAGAATAAGAGTATATTTGGTCCCATGCATATGATTTATTTGGATAAAAGATATCAGAAGAAAAACATAGAAGAAGTGATTCATGTTTAAGACATAATTTCAGTGCAGGAAGGCCATATCAAATGTACCGAAGCGCAAAAAAGCATATTGACCCCCCCTTTTATTTTTAATTAAGCTATGTGGGTAGATACTAAAAATAAACTTGACAAAAACTTTTAATATCAGGATCCAACCTCTTTAAACAACTTCTGACATTAAATTAATTACTGATGCTATGATTTGTAATGCACTTCAAATATTTCATCAACAAAAAACAAAAAAAAAAAAAAAAACAAAACAAACAAACAAACAAACAAACAAAAAAACAAAAAACAAACAAACAAACAAAAAACACAAACCACACCATGTGCCTTACTTTTAACCTGGTTAACAAACTAACGACATTGTTATCAATTTTCTTATTTAAATAACATTTTTTTTTATTTCAAAGCACAAGGGGTCACATCATTTACATATTCTTGAGTGCCTTGATTGGAGCCATGATCGACTTCTTCCAGCTGACACATCCATTTTGATAAATTTAATCAAGCAATTCTGTTTTGACCGGAAATCAGAAGTAGAGGGTCATGTTACTGTCATGTCGATGTATGGATGCGTTTTTATGACCTTCCTATTTTTTTAATTTATTTTAAGGAGAATAACGTAATGCTTAAATGAAAAAAAAAAGAATTCCAAAGCTGGATGAATAGAAGTTCTTTCTTTTTAAAATGCTTCAAATTATTGTTGAACTTCTTAATATTGGTTTACTTCAAATACAGGGACGGAGCAGCATGTTGTGGTCTATTCATCGCTGTATATAACGCAATAGAACAGCTACAACAGGACAACGAAGTAGACATCTGTACCATTGTGCAGCAATTGCAGTGTCGCAGACCGGAAATGATTTCAAACAAGGTAATTACTTATGCTGCCCATCTATATTTCAAGTGATTTCTGTGAATCAATATGATAAACATAGATATATTGCTATATAAATATATAAAATGTGCTACATTTTAATGTGCTACAAATGTGCTACATATATAAAATATATAAAATGTGTTACATATTGAACTTGTAATTCAACTTAATAATTATGTTCCTTTGCTTAATTCCGCACAGTTATTCATTTCTATTCAATTTTTGGACAAAATACATTTATAACTATTTTAAGATATATGAAACAATATTCATTACAAATGTTTCTCTCTATCAATATGTCTTTTTATCATTATGTGTAAATTTAGAAAATTATAGGATTTGTTTTCTTAGGTAATAAATACTTTCCAAATACTTCCAACTTTCCATTTTGTTTCTTTCAGGAAGAATATGAGTTCTGTTACAGAGCTATACGTGATTTTCTGAATACAGACAGCGTTTATGCTAATGCTTAGCATAATTCCTGTGGGAACATCACTGCATGTTTCAGATGGAACTGATTGGAAATAAATTATAGTGAACAATATCCTATCGACAGAATGTTTACATCATAATCCCAAAAAATGAATTCTTACATTTTCTATCAAGCACTTGTCTAGCTTGAACTGTTACATCATTTTTGACTGTTATTACATTTTTATGAAAACAGGTCTTTTTTTATACTGTTTATCAACAATCTTCATGTAAAGCCTGCAGTTTGTCCTCACCGAAGGTTTAATTACACTGCAACAGAACAATTGTAAATTTAACAATTCAATCAATCAATTTAAAACCTCGAGTCTTTACAGAAAGTCATTTTCATGTGTGTTTTCATCTAATTACATTACTTTTTTTTTTGTTCATTATATTACGATATAACTTAAGATAATTTATTTTCATTCTGTTTCTATTTGTATCTAAATTAACAGTCTCGATTCTACAATGTACATTGAGCTACTTCTTGTTAGAGAAAAAATGTAATCTAATATTAGAGTAATGCGCTTTGTCTGTAATTTTTTTCTTTTATATACAGTTAAAACGATTGCTTTTCATCAGGATTTATGTTGCATGGTTTTTGGTCATACATTATATTTGTTTATCCTGCAACTACCCCTTGCATTGACCTAATAAAGGTAACCTAATAAACCAAAGCTTTATTCGGTCAATGCCGTAATAAAGCCTCGTGGATGTATTCCAACGTTCTAAAAGCATTGTGACGTCATGAATATTGCAATGTTTACGCCATGGCGTCTTAGTTTCAACTGCAGAGATGTACCTAAATCGATTGAAAAATATCTCGTTTTGGAGGTCACGTAAAAATATGTTGCAGGATAAACAAGATACATGGATACTGTCTTGAAATAAAAGCGATATTTGGGCTCGGGTCGAAAACGTGATAGAGGGCTCGGCAAGCCTCGCCCTCTATCACGTTTTCTTACCCTCGCCCAAATATCGCTTATATTTCAAGACAGTAACCATGTATTTTATATATCTATGAGAAAAACATTTGGTCATACATTATATTATCTATGAGAAGAACACTTATTTCAAAGTATTATTATTTACATATATTGCATGTACATTTAATTTTCTACTGTAATCATTAAATGCCTTTCCACCAATGGTATTTTTCTTCCTTTCGTTTTTCCTTATGTAATTTTAATGTAATCAATATGAAACTGGCAAGGCTGCAAGCCAATCATCTTACTGTAATTATAATTACGAAAGTTAAATAAATCAATTTAGTTGTCCCACTGAACTAAAATATTCAATTTATGGTGCTGAATGGTATTAAATTTCTTAAATAAAAAAGTAAAAATCGCAATAAATAGTATAGGAAAATCATCCTGTGCAAATCACTATACCCACACTTTCCAAAGAAAGATTGGTTATATTATTACTACCCTGGTCCGTCCTTCTGTCACACTTTCTTCTTAATCTAACAACTCCTGCGTTTTAGGCAGAATTCAATTAATCTTTTTAACCCTGGAGCAAAACGGTGATCAAAAAATGACTTTTTTTTTCTACAAAAGCCTGGTTCCGAGAACTCCTCTTACATTTTACGCAGTAGTCTAATCATCTTTTGAAAGATGATTGGTGGTGTCCTGTAAATGTGCAGTAAGGTTTCGGAATTTTCATTTTCACCCAAGGGGTCAAATGGGGGTCAAAAATGATGTTTTTCTACTATGACTTGGTTCTCAGAGATCCTCCTACATTTTATGCAATAGCCTTATCATTTTTTGGAAGTTGATTGGTGGTGTCCTGTAGATGTGCAATAAAGTTTCCGAATTTTAATTTTACCCGGGGGGGGGGGGGGGATTTGGGTCGAAAAATTTTTGAAAGAATAAATTTGTTTCTACACTATGTAATGAAACTCTCACTTAAGATTCAAATTTTCTTGCCTAGTGATTCTTTAGAAGAAGATTTTTTGTCTTATACAGTAAAGCATGTTTATAGCGAAACACGCTTATAATGAATTGTCGCTTACAGCGAAACAATGTTCATTCCCCATGACTTTGAAATATATTTTAAACTTAATGGATATAAGCAATTACACAGACAAAGCAAAACTGTCCGACCAAGGCAATTAATTATTAGTGTGTTTTACTGTACATCTCCATGTTAACAAAACTTTGATCCCCTATTGTGGCCCCACCCTACCGCTAAAGGTCTTGATTTGGACAAAGTTTTACACAAGAAAAAATATTTTACATGAGAAATAAAACTCTTTGTGTTTCTAAATATTTTTTCTTGTGTAAAACAATTGTTCAAATGAAGGGCCAAACCTTATTTTAAGGTAAGATAAGAATGAGTAAAAATTTAATGGTACTTCAAAAATCTTCTTCTCAAAAGCCAGTGGGTCAGAAAAGTTTAAAATTGTGAAACTTAATTACTTAGTGTAGATTCAACTTTGTCCAAATCAAGACCTTTAGGGGTAGGGTGGGGCCACAATAGGGGATCATACCTCCCGGGTATTTCTTGTTATTTGAACAAAGATAATGATGAGTCAATCCTGACTGTTCAATTTTGTACAAGGCTATGTATAATTATTATACCATGAAGGGTTTTTAACATGTCTTCAACATGTCAGGTGATTGTTCACAGTGAGTACTTTCCCAGCATAATTGAGTTCATTTCTGCCTGCTAAAAATACTGATCTTGAGCAAATAAATATTAGTTCTATGTGAAATTTGTATCAAACCACGTTAAAAGACTTGTCCTTTTGTAATTATAGATATAGATCAAAGACAGGATAGTGAGTAAACTTATTTTTTTTTATTTCTTTACATTTCTGGGAATGATATCATTCTTGCTGAAGTATGAATGAGTGTAAAAAGTCATCAATTAAAAAAAAAGATTTTATAGTTCCATTTTAATTTTGACTCAAGTAGATGTTAGAGAGAGAGAGAGAGAGAGAGAGAGAGAGAGATTATCCCAGTTATATAGCCCCTAATAAACTTTATATATTTGTGATAGCAAATTCTTATAATTCTTATAATTAGGAGACACAATATTTGAAAAGCAATTTTCTTTCATGCATTGTTTTCAAAAAACTCAAAGCTTAAAATTTAAATTTTATATTCATGTCAACATAGTGCAACTTTTATCTACATTGATAAAATGTTCATAAAAAGTATAAAAAAAAAGTATAGTAATGTCCTGCTGGACACGTTATTACTGGTGACGTAAATAACGAGGACCTTAGATCACTAATTTTAAAAGGTCCTAAATATAGGGAACCCCGATCCTTCAACTGGCGTCGGAATTTCATAAATATTATGGATTCTTTAGAGGATTACGCCAGGCGATGAGCCAGACATGAAAAAGAAGACCTTGACACTTTGTCAGAATGGATTAAATGTATCAGACATATGTTAAAATCGCGCATTAAAAGATTGAGGTGCAATATGAGAACCAATTATCCTTCTGTATTCAATAATCCAGAAGTGAAAAAAGAATTAGGTAGTTTACATGATCAGTACCTACTGGTCCCGGCTGACAAAGCTGGTAACAACATTGTCTTTGTTTGTAAGGCTCATTGTATTAAATGTATTTAAGAGGAACTTGGATTTAAATCTACAAGTGGTATTCCAACTTATACTCATAGTTCCCTTTCTAAGGAAGAAATTCTTCAAAATCATATGTTAGTTTTGAATATTTTTAATATTCCTAACAATTAAAATGAATTTGAATTACCATTTCTATATTGCATTCCGAAACTTCATCAAATTCCTTACAAACAAAGATATATAGCGGGTTCCAGTAAATGTTCAACCAAGTCTCTTTCTTTACTCCTCACTGATATATTAACGTAGTGAAGGAGAAACTTCAAGAGTACTGTGAAAAAATATATTCGAGAAGTGGTGTAAATCAGATGTGGATACTAAAAAACTCCAAGGAACTTTTGGAAAATATGAAATTACAAAATTTTACCAGAATCAATAGCTTAAAAACTTACGACTTTTCAACATTATATACAACCATTCCCCACGATAAATTAGTCCAGGCTTTTTGATATCATTGACAGCTGCTTTTTCAATAAAAATAGAACTTGTAAATTTACTTTCCTTGTCATTGGTCATTCGCAAAATTAATTTGTTAAAAATATTCTCATTGTACACACAAGAACTCTGAAGTTGTCATTAAAAAGATGCTTGAGTTTCTGATTGCAATATCTAGGTGGATTTTGGAGACCAGGTCTTCCAACAATCTATTGGAATTCCCATGGGTACCAATTGCGCCCCGTTATTAGCAGACCTTTTTTTGTATTCGTATGAAGCAGAATTTGTCCAAAATCTTATACGTGAAAAGAAGAAAACACTTGCTGTGGCCTTCAGCTCCACATTTAGATACATCGACGACGTATTGTCAATTAAGAATGGTTATTTCCATTCTTTTGTCGATACGATATATCCTGGTGAGCTTGAGATAAAAGATACCACAGAGTCTGACACATCTGTTTCATATTTGGATATTTTACTTGAGAAAGACGTTAATTGTTATCTAACAACCAACCTTTATGATTAACGTGGTGACTTTAACTTTTCAATCGTAAACTCCCCTTACTTATGCAGCAATATACCTTCATCACCTGCATACGGGGTTTATATCTCTCAGTTGATTCGATACGCCAGAGCATGCTCTACGTATGTACAATTTCTAAAACGAGATAAATTATTGACAAAGAAGTTGATGAGACAAGAATATTAGCAGTCTCGTTTAAAGTCATCATTTCGTAAGTTCTATGGTCAATGACCTTGTCAGCAAATACAATTTATCATTGAGTCAAATGCTGACTGACGTTTTTCATATTAATTGTTAGTCCATTATTTACACACTGAATTATCGATGGATTTTTCCGTTATTTCCCGATCATGACAAGGAGCACACGGCGGGTGTGACCGGTCGGCAGGGGATGTTCACTCCTCCATAGCTTACTATGACGGCATATTGTATAGGCATGTAAGGTATCTGG